ATGTATGTATATATTTGTAACTGAAAAAAAAAAAGCTCTCTTAGAAGTTTGTGGCAGTGATTACCCAAGCATGAAGTAATAATGTCATGGTCCAAAATGGCATCTGTGCCAGTGGGAAATGAGAAATAAATATTATAGAGTCTAAAAAGGAACAAACTGACAGATCTTAGCAAGAAGGGATGATGATGCTTGATAATGGTGAAGAGGAGGATGATGACGGTGGTGACTAACACTGATTGCCTCCTAGGTGTCAGACACTCTCCTAAATACTTTAAAGTTATCAACTCACTCAATCCTCACACCAGCCCTATAAGATAGGAATTTAGTTTATTCATCTACTTGTAGATGAATAAACTAAAGCAGAGAGGTTAAGAAACTTGCTCAAAGTCACAAAGATAGATAGTAAGTGGCCGAGGTAGGACTTAAAGCCAAGCAACAGAGCTCCAAAGCCCACACACTTAACCACCATAATAGACTTTTACATGTTTGAAGAAAGAAGAGAAAGAGTCCATGGACTAGAAGAAGCAACAAGCTTAAAAACTGAAAGAATATTTACAGTCATATATCCTCTAAGATTACAGCAAAAGATAACAGATTTGAAAACACGATTAACTGAGATAAATATATGACAGAACTCCAGTTTGATAGTTTCAATCCTTTCTGAAGTTAAAAACTTGGAAGTCTACTTGATGTAAAGACAAAACTGTTGCAATAGAAACAGAAAGCTAAAAAAAAAAAGATGAAGAAGAAGAACAGGTCTAAAAAAAGTTGGATAGAAAATACATTCCAAAACATTAAATTAAAAAAAAATCATTGCACCATCCCTCTTAACCCCCATCATGAAGAACTTTATAAAGGAAGTAAGATCACAGTCAAAGAAGAGAATCTCTAATATTTCCTTACTCCTGGCCCATAGCAATAACCGTCACATCTTGCCACTGGCCCTCTGTTCCTACATTATCTCTTGTGAATAGAATCTATGATTCTACATATATGTGGAAACAAGGTTTCATCAAGGGTTCACCCATAATAAAGCAGGCTTCACTAAGGGAACTGAAGTTCTTTCTATTGTGCATAATAGCAAGAAAAGCAATGAAAATCTGAGCTCTAGAGATATTCAGATTTACACTGTAAAGTGTATCCCACTCTAGTCTTTTACAAGCTCTTAAAATCCTTAACGCAAAAAGTCATGCCTGCTAGCTTTTCCAAGTCACTGTGAGTCCCAACATATCTTCTGATGAAAGCAAATACAAAATTATACTGTAATACCTACAATTTGTGTCATAAGGCCAAAACCATGCCTCTAAAAACTGGTCCTTCTTTTAACAGGGAGTACTTTCGCTTCTCCCTTTACTCCCATACAGCAGACCCTTTACATCAGCAAGGCCAGCTCCTGACCCTCCAGAATTGGCTTCCCCCACAGATAAGCAATCAAATGATGATGCAAGGCCACTGCCAATGATCATTCGCTGGTTAAGTAATGGTTTCCCACACAGCAACTCTGGAGTGTGGCTATAATTCCAATTTCTTCCTGAGAAAAATTACCAATTACTACATGACATGGACTTTCACTTGTTCATTCTCAGACTTTCAAAGTCATAGGTGAATAGCATAAACTGTGAATCCAAGAGTCTACCACACATTCTATGTGAGGTTTTTCATCAAAGAGGATACAGGGAATAATGAAACAACACTGAACTAGGATTCCGCAAAATCAGGTTCTAGTAGGCTCAGTCCTACTTACTAATTGCAAAAATAAAAAGGTTAAACTAGATGAAATGAGAATATTGGACCAGATGAAATGAGAAGATCTCCAGCAATGAAAGTCTGTAATTCAGAAGAAAAATGAATAAATAAAAAGTCTACAATCCATGACCTACTTGAGCTGAGGTAAGATCTAGAAAGTTAGAAATTGAGTTATAAAACACTTGTGAACAGGTAAGATAAACCTGATTGACAACTGGTCCCAAACAGTTTGTAGAGCAGCAGCCTCCACACTGCCTCTCTCAACTTCATTTTGCTGTACTTTTTTATTCTTTTCTTTCATAGGCATTGCTCAATGGCCCTCACGATTCCTGCTTCAATAAAGAATAACAGTAGGTGTTTATGTCCAATGAATTGTCCAAGTTAGAGAGTCATTACTCAGAATGTTTTATTTTTACAAAATGGAATCTCACAAATACTACATAAACAATACTATGCGCTAAGGAATGTTACTAAAGGTATTCAAGTCAAATAAGAATAAATTAACCACAATGTTGCACATCTAGATTTTTCTTCACTGTTAAGAATATACAGCATTTGAGATATTGCCATGAATATCCTACTGCCTATTATAAATAAGGATCAGCAATAAACAAAGTGTGTATTCCCAGTAAGTAACTTAAATAACTACATAATTTCTGAAGATTCATCATCTCATAATATACGTTGGTAGAGCTCTACAGGTATACTTCACTATATATAAACTGGTCTTCCATATAAATGTTAGCTTTAAAAAATTTTAAACTAATTTTTATGTTTAAAGTAATACATGCACACAGTAAAAAACTTAAACAATAAAGGGTATGCAATAAGAAGTGAAAGTATCCTTTCTCCCATATGATTCCTACCAGGTTAACTACTAACAAATGGAACTATTTTCATTATATAAGGGGGGGGGGGTGATATTCCCAGCATCTGTTTTATAGTAAAAGATAATTTTATCATGTAAATAAGCCCCTTCCCCAATTACTTGGTCATGTTTTTATATGCTATAAATGGTTTCTTAAGTAATGCATACCTGTACTGCCCCATTCTAAGTGTTGCTGTCTTGCATACTGCAAAACAAGCAGAACTGGCATCAAGGTGTTGGGCAAATAAGGTAGGAAGGTCTTTGGAACTCCTAGTTCATGAGATCATTTCAATATATATCCCTGGGCCACGTACTGTTTCCAGAGCCTCAAGATAAGACAGTTCTAAAATCAACCACTGGATATTTTTTAAGCAAATTAAATTATCTTGAATATCCCATGCCTATGTGTCATACAGATTAGAATTCATTAGGGTTGATCAATAGTTAACTTATGGTTCAATATTTTTAATTATATTTATTCTATTTAAGGTACAGCAATATAAACATGAGCACAAAAGTGTGCTATTTTCACACAGCTTGCTTGGTTACAAATATATCCAGGTTCTTAATTTGTCTCAAAGGCTTTAAACTAGCTCCATAAAGGTAAAGTCTTAAGAAAGGTTTGTCCTAGAGAGCTAGAGGTTATCAAATTTAAATTATGTTTTTCATAAGTTTGATATGAAATTAAAAAAATCCTGAAATAAGTTTTCTAATTACAAGTACTATATGAGCAAGCTATTAAAAAGACTTTTGCAAGCTACATAACAACGAAATATTTGTCGCATCATGTCACTCTTCTGCTCAAAACTTCTCACGATTTGCCATCTCAGAATAAAAACTAAAGTCCATATGATAATCTACAAAGCTTCTTCATGATCTCGCCCCCTGCTACCAATCTCATTTACCCCTTGCACACACAACTCCACCTGCACTGGTTTCCTAGCTTTTCCTCAAACACACTAACCATATCCTTTCATGCTTGCTGTTCCTCAACCTAAAACTCTCTTTCCCCAGGTATCTGCATAACTTGCTGCCTCACATCATTCAGGCTCAACTGTTGCCTAATCAGAGAGGCCTTTCCTTACTATTCTGTATAAAATAGTAACTCCCTATCCATCCTATCACTCTCTATCCTCTTTCTCCTTTCTGCCTTGTTTTTCTTCGTAGTACCCATCAGAACATGACATAGAATTATTTATTTACTGCCTGTCTTCCCCAAGTACTAAAATGCAAACACCATGAGAGTAGAAACTTCGATTTATTCAAAATGCAGCACTATAAAGAGCAACTGGCATTTAGTCTGCCACGTATTTGCTAAATGACATAACGCAGAATAGCAAAGCCTTGTGCTATATGTTTTTATACAGGTTTGCTGATTTACTCCTTAAAAAAAAAAAAAAAAACTGTAAGGAGTTACTATTATTATTCCAACTTTACCAATGATGAGATGAAGACACAAAAGATTAAATAACCTGTATGTGACATAGCTTGTAAGTGGTAAAGTCAGTCTCCTGCATCTATTAAGTGAAATCGTGCAAATGAAGTGTTTAACAAAATGCTTAGTGCATAAAACAGCTAATATTTATGGAATACTTACGTGTCAAACAATCTAAGTTCTTTAGATGTATTTAATCATTTAATACTCATATTAATTTCTAAAAAAGTGGTTACTATTATTATTATTCCTTATCAAGGCACCAACATTAACTCAACGGAAATCACATAAAAGATGCTGCCGTGAGAGAAATGGCACAAACTCCAATCTTTGCTCTTCTCAGAAAAATGTTAACATGATATAATAATGTGTTTTAAAGGTTAGCACAGGGAACCAAATCCAAACTAACTGAACTCATAAACACAGACACACATATTATTAACTGTGTATATGCTAGTTTGTAGTTCTAAAAACTAGACGCTGTAACACTCAAAGGCAAAATAATCACAATTTTTCTCACTTAAAAAACAAATCTGCCCCTCCCCAAACATCTGGTTACTGCTCCATTTGCACCATGTTATGCTTAACATATCTTTTTCATTATAAATTATCTGGATTAAAGTAGATCTTTCTAATGGTTAAAACAGAACTTATTTATACCAATTACTACTGAAATCACCAAATTTACCTAATCTAAACAGCCTCTCATTTAAAAGTCAGCTTTATTCCCGAAAATAAGTTTTCAAATTCCTTCATCTGAGGAAATAAAGTAACCAATTTCTTTAATCTAGAGTTAAACTGAAAGCCACTGGAATTATGAAAATTATTGACTATAATTTCTTTAGCTCAACACAGCATTTGGTTTTTACTTTTTAATTCAACCTGCAGATGCCCACTCTTTACTAATAATAAACGTATGAAAGATTCTGGGTAAAGACCCTTAAAACTTACGGTGCAATAATGGCTCTAGCAGGTCTTTTTGTAGACTGTACTTGTGAAAGCCAACCTTCTAGCTGTGCATTCAATTGAGGTCCTATAAAAAGAAAAGGGGAAATTGGAGTCAGCAAAGCCATGTGCTGCAGATAACTACACATGGCACAAAACCCTCACTGAACCTATTTGAGACTGAAATACCTTAATGGGCAGTGGAATCATCACTTTGGATATTAATGTTTAAACTTATCAATTACAAGGTCATATAACAAGGTACAGTACTGATTAAACAAGATTTGCTTTTATCTATTTACTTATTTATTACCATCTTTATTCAAGAGCAACATCATCATCTACAATTTGAGGCAGTGTTTAAACAAAATGAAACAGGAAGCAGAAGACTGTAAGCATGAGGAAAAAAAATAACTGAGCGAATAATATTTTTTTGAGCACCCAAACCTGCCTTAATCACTGAAATCACATCCATAGATGCAATCACTCCCGCACCCAGTGACCTTTTCTTCCAACCTACTTCAGCCCCCTACTCCTCCCATGATCTTATCAACTACCAGTAACTACATCACCTCAAAAATCTCAATTTAAAGCATCCCGCTCTCTTCACTTCTCATCTTCCCAGTTCACTTCCAGAAATTTGTTGACTCTAACAGTCCCCACCATTTTTTACATGGTCCTTCGTCTTCTCTTTTCTTCATTTCTTACCCAGCCTCAGATTTAACAATCCATCACTAGAATCACTCCCTTGTGTATAGCCTTACTCCTTTGCTCCTTTTTGCTTTCATCACAGTAAAACCCTAGATAAAGCCACCTCTACATGTAAGTTGATGTCACCACCTGAACAGCTGAGTGAAACTGAAGAGAAACACAACTATATGAAATGGTTTCGCCTTGAAATTATAACCAGAAATTTCAGCAGACCTCTAGCTATGCTATAAAATTCTACCACACTACCTTAATCAATTTGTCTTCTGATCTTTAAGACAGAGAATTGTATAACACCTCTTCCTTTCACCTTAAACCGCAAATACCTCACATTCACCACTTCTCTCATACCAGATGATCGTGTTTTATTTTTATTTTTCATTGTGCTTTAGGTGAAAGTTTACAACTCAAGTTAGTTTCTCATACAAAAATTTATAGAAACACTGTTATGTGACTCTAGTTGCTCTCCCTATAATGTGACAGCACACTCCCTCTTTCCACCCCAAATTTCCCGTGTGCATTCAACCAGCTCCTATTCCTTTCTGAATTCTCATCTCGCCTCCGGACAGGAGCTGCCCATTTAGTCTCATCTATCTACTTGAACAAACGAGCACACTCTTCACGAATATTATTTTATGTTTTATATTACATTCTAATCTTTGTCAGAAGAGTTGGCCACAGGAATGGTTTTAGTTCTGGATAAAGAGAGTCTGGGGGCCATGTCTTCTGGGGTTCCTCCAGTCTCAGTCAGACCATTAACTCTGGTCTTCCTACATGAATTTGAGTTCTGCACCCCACTTTCTTCTACTCCGTCAGGGACACTCTGTTGTGTTCCCTGTTAGAGCAGTAATTAGTGGTAGCTGGGTAACATCTAGTTCTTCTGGTCTCAGGCTGATGGAGACTCTGGTTTATATGGCTCTGTCTCTTGAGCTAATATTTTCTTTGGTGTTCTTAATTCTCCTTTGCTCCACGTGGGTTGGGGCCAATTGATGCATCTTAGATGGCAGCTTGCTAGCTTTTAAGACCCCAGATGCCACTCACCACAGTGGGATGCTGAACATGTTCTTAACAAACTTTGTTATGTCAATTAACCTAGAGGTCCACCGAAACTACAGTCCCCAAACCTCCACCCCTGCTACTCTGTCCCTCAAGTGTCTGGTTGTGTCCAGGTAACTTCTTAGCTTGTGCTGACTTCCTCTGTGTTATGCACTGTCCTTCTCTTAACCTAAGATAACTCCTGTCCGCTATCTAGTTAGTGAATTCTCCTTTCCCTCCCTCCCCACCCTCATAACCATCAAAGCATGATTTCTTCAAGTATTCAAACCTTGAGTTTTTCTAATAGTGGTCTCATATAATATTTCTCCTTTGACGACTGACTAAATTCACTCAGCATAATGCCTTCCAGATTCCTCCATGTTATAAGATGTTTCACAGATTCATCATCGTTCTTTACTGTTGCATAGTATTCCATTGTGTGAATATACCATAATTTGTTTATCCATTCGTCCGCTGATGGGTACCTAGGTTGTTTCCATCTTTTTGCTATTGTGAACAGGGCTGCAATGAACTTGGGTGTGCATACATCATTCGTGTGATGGCTCTTATTTCTCTAGGATATATTCCAGAGAGTGGGATTGCTGGACCGCACGGTACGTCTATTTCTACGTTTTTAAGGAAGCTCCAAATCGATTTCCAAAGTTTTTACATTTTACATTCCCACCAACAGTGTATAAGTATTCCAGTCTCTACACAACCTCTTCAACATTATTTCGTGTTTTCTGAATTAATGCTAGCCTTGGGGTGAGATGGTATCTCATTGTAGCTTTGATTTGCACCTCTATAATGGCTAATGATCGCGAGCATTTCCTCACGTACTGGTTAGCCACCTAAATGTCCTTCAAGTGCCTGTTAATATCCTTTGCCCATTTTTCAATTGGGTTATCTGTCTTTTCGTTGTTGACGCTTTGCAGTATGTTCTACATTTTAGAGATCAGACCCTGATCAGATATGTTGTAGCCAAAAATTTTTTCCCAGTCTGTAAGTTATCTTTTTACTCTTTTGGTGAAGTCTTTTGATGAGTGTTTAAGTGTTTGATTTTTAAGAGCTTTTAGTTATCTAGTTTCTCTTCTGCTGTTTGCGCACTGTTACTTATGGTTTGTATTCTGTTTATTCCATGTTTAGGGAACCTAGCGATGTCCCTATTTTTACTTGTATGATCTTTATCGTTTTAGACATTATATTTAGATCTTTGATCTATTTTGTGTTAGTTGTTGTGCATGGTGTGAGGTATGGTTCTTGTTTCAGTTTTATACAGATGGATATCCAGTTATGCCAACACCATTTGTTAAAGAGACTGTCTTTTCTCCACTAAATGGACTGGGACCTTTGTCAAATACCAGCTGCTCATAAATGGATGAATTTATGTCTGGATTCTCGATTCTGTTCCATTGGTCTATGTATCTGTTGTTCTACCAGTACCAGGCTTTTCTGACTACCGTGGTGGTATAATAGGTTCAAAAATCAGGTAATGTGAGGCCTCCCACTTTGTTCTTCTTCAGTAATGCTTTACTTATCTGGGGCCTCTTCCCTTTCCATATGAAGTTGGTGATTTTTTTCTCCATCTCATTAAAAAATGTCATTGCATCAGGACTGCACTGTCGTTATAGATCGCTTTGGGTATAATTGACATTTTCACAATGTTGAGTCTTCCTATCCATGAGCAAGGTATGTTTTTCAACTTAATGTAGGTCTCTTTTGGTTTCTTGCAGTAGTGTCTTGTAGTTTTCATTATATAGGCCTTTTACGTCTCTGGTTAGATTTATTACTAAATATTTTATCTTCTTGGGGGCTATTGTAAATGGTATTGATTTACTGATTTCCTCTTCGAAGTACTCTTTGTTGGTGTAAATGAAGCCAACTGATTTTTCTATGTTTATCTTGTATCCTGATACTTTGCTGAAATCTTCCATGAGTTCCAGCAGTTTTCTTGTGGATTCTTTGGGGTTTTCTGTGTATAAGATCGTATAATCAGCAAACAGGGGTACGTTTACTTCTTCCTTACCAATATGGACGTCTTTTATTTCTTTTTCTCGCCTTACTGCTCTGGCTAGGACCTCCAGCACAATGTTGAATAAGAGTGGTGATAAAGGGCATCCTTGTCTGGTTCCCTTTCTCAAGGGGAATGCTTTCAGACTCTCTCCATTTAGGATGATGGTGGCTGTTGGCTTTGTAAAAATGCTGTTTATTATGTCAAGGAATTTCCCTTCTATTCCTATTCTGCTGAGAGTTTTTATCATGAATGGATGTTGGACTTTGTCAAATGCCTTTTCTGCATCAATTAATAATATCATGTAGTTCTTATCCTTTTTTTTATTTATGTGATGGATTACACTGTTTTTCTAACGATGAACCATACATACCTGATATGAATCTCACTTGGTCATGGTGAATTATTTTTTTGATACGTTGTTGAATTCTACTGGCTAGAATTTTGTTGAGAATTTTTGCATCTATGTTAATGAAGGATATTGGTCTATAATTTTCTTGTTTTGTGGTGTCTTTACCTGGTTTTGGTATCAGGGTTATGCTGGCTTCACAGAATGAGTTTGGGAGTATTCCATCCTTTTCTATGCTCTGAAATACTTTTAGTAGTAGTGGTGTTAACTTTTCTCTGAAAGTTTGATAGAATTCTCCAGTGAAACCGTCAGGGCCAAGGCTTTTTTTTGGTTGGGAGTTTTTAAATTACCTCATCAGCCTCTTCTTTTGTTATAGGTTTATTTAGTAGTTCTAACTCTGTTTGTGTTAGTTTAGGTAGGTAGTGTGTTTCTAGAAATTTCTCCATTCCCTCTAGGGTTTCAAATTTGTTGGAGTACAATTCTTCATAGTATTGTTATGATCCTTTAAACTTCAGTTGCGTCTGTTATGATATCGCCCATCTCATTTCTCATTTGGGTTATTTGCTACCTCTCCTGTTTTTCTTTTGTCGGTTTGTCCACTGGTTTATTGACTTTGTTGATCTTTTCAAAAAACCAGCTATTGGTCTTGTTAACTCTTTCCATTGTTTTTCTTTTCTCTATTTCATTTATTTCTGCTCTAATTTTCATTATTTCCTTTGTTCTGGGCCCGAGGGCTCCTTTTGCTCCTCTCTATTTGTTTGAGTTGTAGGGTTAATGTTTTCATTTCAGTCGTTTCTTCTTTTTGGATGTGTGCATTTATTGCTATTATTTGACCTCTGAGCACTGCTTTTGCTGTGTCCCAAAGGTTCTAATAGGATGTATTTTCATTCTCAATTGTTTCTGTGAGTTTCTTTATTCCAACCTTAATTTCTTCTATAACTCAGTAGTTTTTGAGCAAGGTGTTCAGTTTCCATGTATTTGATTT